CAGGCTGGGGAGGAGAATGGGCTGAGCAGGAACCCTTGGGCAGTCAGTGTCCCAGGATATCAAGGCCTTTGRGGACAGGTGGTTGAGCGCTTGTGGAGTCTGATCTGGGACAGTGAGGAAAAGAGGATCTCAGGCTGCGAGGCACCCGTGAGGACCCCATTTCACCAAGCCAGCATCTTGCATGGAGGAGTTGGAGTCTAGCTGAGTCTGAAGGGGCAGGTGCCCCACTCCTGGTCAGGGAGGGTGATTGTTTGCACCCTGATTTCATTTTCCCTGAAGTCAGCTCCTTTGCCAGGGCCCCATATTGTCTTTCTATGCTTTCCAGTCCCATTTCCCAAAGAGAGAAATTATCACGCGTGGATTTAGAGCCGTGGCTTTGGGTCAGTCAAATCCTGATGCTGCCTCTTACTTTATCGACATAATCTTGGACTGTTCATTTCTCTTCACTCGTGTAGCCTGGGGATCACAGTAGTGATTTCATGATGCGGTTGCAAGGTCTAGCGGAGATGCACGGAAGTGTGTGCACAGCAAATACTAAGTGACAGAAAGGATAAAAACTGCTCTGTGATCTGAGGGCTTGCTGGGAGCCAGATGCTGCTCTGATCACGTGACATGAATGAATCACATATGGATGGTTAGCCCAAGCATCAGCTTATGAAATTATTCTACCCATTTTACAGTTGAGAATACTAAGCCTCGAAGGGGCTTATCGAGGGTCGCCCAACTAGAAGGGAGTCGAATGCAGGTGACCTAGCTCCTGACCCCTGCTTGTGCTGATTATTACCACTGCTGGCTGAGGGGTGCCAGGTCAGTGTTCAGGTGAAGGAAGAATTGAGAGCATGGGGAGGGGACTGGCCCACTCTGATTTTTCCTTCCGAGTGAGATTCTATTCATCTTGGTCTTAAGTACTCAGTGTGAAAACTCTCCACTGAAGTTTTTTGAAGCTCATTTCTTCTGGGTTTACAAGATGACCTATCCTAGTCTCCCCTCATCCCCTCCTCCCCTCACTGGGAACAAACTCCTAGGATTTCAGTGGCATTAGGATTGACAGGATAGACACAGCGAAGCTGGGGACAGTCCCACCTGCACCACGGTTCACTATGGGAAGCTCTCCATGCTAAGGAGTGTGAGTGTCTTGAKCTCACAATTGCTTTGGGGAAAATAGTTTCCAATGACTATGGATCCTTGGTGAGAGCCCTAGATTTGGGGGTAGGAGGGGCACGGGGCATGCAGTGAGTGGCAGAGATGTCATTTTTTTGAAGGGCACTGGAGCATTTTTAAAGCTTGTTTGTAGCAGACCCTCCTGGAGTCGGCCAAAGGCCACTGTCTGGGGAGGATCATGACAATGCCAGGCAGGCGCACTCCAACAATGACCAGATTTAATTCCAAAAGGAAGATTGAAGTCTGTGGTGAGATGATAGTATCCCAAATCGGGCCTTGTGGAGAGGAAAATGAATTTCTTAAATTCTTCAGATGAACTCCCTTCTACGTAGTAAGAGCCAAGTCAGCTCAGAACACAGTTTTCTCCTAAGCTTAGGGGTTGAGGCAGGGTGTGGGGGCTGGGGATGAAAGGAAGTTCCCTGATGTGGAGAGAAAAGTGAGGAAGCTTCCACTCCCGGAGGGGAGAGAGGGAGACGCAGAGAGAGCAAGGGTGAGGTGAGACACTGAGTCCCTCCAGGGCCCACAGGCCTGTGTGGGTGGCCTGGGAATCATGAGAAGGACAAGATTTGCATCCCATCTTTGGGGGTCCATGGTGGAGTGAGTTCTCACTGTGATCAAAACCATAGGCCAGGTCTTTGGAGGGAGGGGCTGGGGAAGTCTTGGTTTATTTAGACTCCTGGCAAAAAAAGAGAAAGAGGGTGAGGCTCCACCTCATCTCCTTAGGACCCCAGAGCCTGCATGTGATGTGGAGGGGTTCAGAGGTTTCTCAGCTCACAGTGGCTGAGGGTCTTGGCCCATAAGCTCCCAGCAAAGTGGACAAAGGGGAAGCAAAGTGACAATGACAAACTGCATCTCCCAAGCTAGAGAAGCTTGGTTTATTTAGGGCACTGGCCTGTATGTCTCCTCTGAGTCTCCAACAGATTTCCCTTAGATTTCTCTTATGGACTTGAGTTTGAAAGGTGTATATCTGTGCATCTTTAGATTCTTACAGACAGGAAGACGATGATGGAGAAGAAAGACAGCCTTAGCGAGTGCTTAATATATGTCTGGCACTTTCCCAGCAAAAAGTATGTAAATGTGCTTATTTGATCTTCATGACAACTTTATAAGTTCTATTATTATCCCCACTTTGCAGGAAATTAAGGCACAGAAGAACCATGTAGTGACTTGCTGAGCGCACAGAGCACTAACTGGCAGAGCCAGACCTTTTGCAGCAGTGAGACTCTTTAGCCTTTGCCCCACTCTGTGTCTGGTTGTGCTTTGTGTCTTTACGGGGCTTGGCAGATAACAGGGGCTCAGGTGCATTTTTAAAAGAATCATCGCTCATACTATGGATGGATTGTGATTGGAAGTTCTGGTCAATGGACCTACTCCGTCTGAACGTCAGCCATAAATGTCTTCAGATTTGTTATTTCTTTTTTTTAAGGCTTTCCTGATAGCTTTGTCTACCCCATCAGCTTAGCCATTCTGCAGCCAGGGCTCTGAACTCAAAGTATCTTAGTGACCACTCACTCCCAACCTGGCCTCTAGTAAATCTCTGGTCGAACCAAACTGTGACACCACCAGCAGGCAAGCTTCTTGGTAAATCTTTACATTGCATCCATGTGACACACAGGTGACAGATCAACATCAATTCTGCCTAGGTCTTGGGGAATGGACCCAATGACCCCTGAGATCCTTCCAGTCTGTAAAGTCCAGGCTGACCAACATCACCTTTGTGGATTTAAAGTATGCACTTTTTTTTTCTTTAGCATCCTAAAATCTGAAGAGTCTCACTTAAGTCACACTGACTCCACATACTCTTCCAGAGTCCTGTTCAAATTTATCTCCTCCTTTAGGAAGTCACCCTTGCTTATTCAACTGACACTGAGCTTCTCTCATCTGAACATCCCCTAGTTTCTCTGCTCCATTGACTCCCTGGCACTTCTGTTTAGCTCTCCCTGGTCTGGCTTTGTCCTCAGCTATGGGCAAGGCTCAGACTGCATACATGCTTAGGCCCTTCCCCCAGCTCCCTGCAAGCAGATGTCCTTTTTTCAACATTGATTGATATGTTTAATAAATCCCATATTTCAAGAACCCAAACTGGCCAGACATAACGCAGAAGTGGTTTTCTCCATATACAGGGAGCTCTGAGTCACAAATCCTGCGTCTTTAGAGGTCCTTTAATGTCACTGTCCTTTACCACCTCTCTTTCTTGAATGACAACATCATTAACAACCACTGACTGAGCCCTACTGTGCCTGTTGGAGAGGTCAGAGAGCCAGTGCAGGGCTGGACAGACATGGGCTCTGGAGCTGGAACTGAAAGCCAGGTCTGATTCCAAAGCCTTTCTGCTGTTAGCTTGCTGAGGTTGAGACTGTCCCCCATGGAAGGCAGTCATTCCATCTTAGATTATGGGGCAACATATCTGGCACACAAGAGTAGATTCTTTTTACTGTGACTGGATTTCAAGTGATTTAAGGACAGTTCCTGATGTCACCCCTCTCCCATCTAAATGAAGCTGGAGTGGGCTCTGCCCCACTGTAGCTAATTTCTAGACATTTGTGGAGCCTGGTGGCAGCTCTTCCTTTTCTCCCAAATCCAAACGTCACACACCAAGGTTTGTTTTAAACTGTCACTCTAGGATCTAAACTGAACCCCCCAGCTGGAGGCCCTTTCAACTATAGGACCTCCCAGAAGTTTGGTATACCACGACAGGAGGGCTCACATGTTTCCTGTGGTGTCTGCAGGCTGGAGAGAGGGTTGGAGGGTCTCCACCTGCGCTCCCGGAAGGCCCCTCTCCCGCTGCCACACCATCAGATCCCAACTACTGGCTCCAGCTCAGGCTCGGAGCCACGCAGAAGGGGAGGAGAATCCTGGCGCCCACACCCAGCCCGTGCTCCGGACTGGACCTTGCTGGACATTCCGCACGCAGAAGAGGAACCCCCAAAATTTCCTCCCGCCATAAAACAGCGCTGCTGGCGGCCGCCCCGTGTGGCTAGAGATGTGCCAAGACCTGTGACTAGGTTCCCGGTGCAGACAGCCCAGGTCTGACTTCTGCGGGACTCGGGTTGCCAGCTGCGCCCCCACACCTGGAGTACATTAGGCAGCTACGTGCGTCTTGGCGACCGCGGCTTCCCCCGGATTATTGAATAATTGCATAATTCCAAGCGCGGGTTGTGGGGGCGCTGTCCTATTCMGACCCCGGGTATCAGGTAACTTTTCCAGAGGTCCTGGATTGCGGGACTGTGTGCAGCCGCCTGTGACCCGGCAGATGAGGATTTGCCACAGCCTAGGGGCCAAAYGCCCTAGGGCTTCCTTTAGAACCCAGTGAGATGAACTCTGGGCAGCTTTTCGCTCCCGCGTCTCCCTCTCCAGCCTCTAGGGCTGCGGCGCCTGATTCTCCAAACTTCGGGGTGCGCCCCCAGATCCACGCACAGGCACAGAGGCACGCTCGCTCGATGTGTCCATCCCCTTTCCCAGTCGGGGCCCACTCGCCTTTCACACTCCTGGGATGCCTGACTACCCCAGCCTCTGTGTGGGAACCGCAGCATGGCCCTCGGGGACCCAAGGCACCCAGCGGTGCCACCAGCCCTCAGCGCTTTTTCAATTTAAACCTCCTCAACTTTTCCCAACACACCAAACTGCGGACTCTTAAGATGCTTCCGCGCACCTCGATCTTTTGCTGAACTTGGAACCTTTAAATTGCAGTCAGTCCCAGGGGACCCACGTCCCCAAGAGCGGCCAAGTTCCGACCCTAGGAAGCGTATGGTGCTCCCTCTCCTAACATCTGGATCCGTGGTCCCAGCGGGCCAGGGAGGGACTTCCAGAGACTAAGGAAGGCAAGGGGGGACACGTACCTGGCCACAGGCTGAGCGCCCAGGCCACCACGAGGCCCCTGGGCAGGTCCATGGCCCGCAGTGCTGCGGCGGGTTGCGGGCGCAGAGCGGCAGCTGGGGCGGCGAGCCAGAGTAGCAGCCTCCTCTTCTCGGCGCCTGGAGCCAGCACTGCGCTCAGCGCCGGTTCCCTGATAGCCGCGGCCCTTTCGGAGGAAGTGGGAGGGCTCGAGCGGCGGGGAGGGGCGCAAGGCCACCACATGGGCTCTGGCTTCAGGCCAGTCTCGGCCCCTCTGCCACCTGGGCAGGAGGCGTGCAGCGGCCACGACGTCCTCTCCACATCTGGTCTTCTCCCCCTCCCCCGGACAACCACTCCTAGGAGCCAGCTACTTAGGCGGTGTGCCACCTGCCTCTCTGGGACCACCACCAAATCAGGGTCTGCTCAGGAAAGTGGTTCAATCGTCCCATCTCCCAGAGAAAAGAGCTCCACAAAGCCCAGAGGGAAACTGGAGGTGATCCAGCGATACCCCTTGTGACTCAGGTCTCCCTTAGACAAGCATAGTGGACGTCCCTTAATAGTGCATTCCAAGACATCCTTTGTCTCTCTGCATCCTGGGTCATGAAATGTAAAGGCCAGAGATCTTGTGACCCTGGAATAAATGCAGATCCTCCCTCCTCCACTCTCCTGACCTCCTCCTCACCCTCCACACCTGAGCCATGTCGAGGCACCTAGGAGGACCTGAACCACGTTAACAAATCAAGATGCTTTTCTTTGGAACCCAGACACCTTCCTCCCCAGCCCTCCTTGTAATAAAAGACAATCAACTTCAATGCTTATTTGTTGAAAAAGCTTTTAATCAAGCCGTGGGCCACAACTGTGAGTGTGGTGGCTGGCCTTCCCAGCAGGGGAGGAGCAGAGGCAGAGGGCAGGATAGCAGAGGGCAGAGGGCAATGTGTGGGGAAGATGGAGCAGAGGACCTGTCACTTTCTTAGGAGGGTCTTCCTGTGCCCTTCCTTRTCCCCTGTCCCCACTATTCAGGTCCTCAGACACATGCTCATCTTCTTTCTCTCTCTCTCATCTTTATTGTACTTAAAAGAGAAACTAGACTCTGATTAACAGAATAATTTGATTAACTTCTCTCTCCCTGAAATCTCTATGAKCACTCAGTCCCTAGACACCAGAAACACAGGAGGAGGGTGGATGAATGGATGAGTACAGGAGGTGGGGTTTTCAGGCTAGGAGAGATTGGAAGGGCTTCCTGGAMGAGATGGCAGGGTTCCTGAGGATGAGCTGGGTTTTGAGCAGGCCTGTGTTCACATGAATGGAGTGGTGGGCTTGTGTTGGCCTCTTCAATGTCGCTCTTTTCTTGGTAGTACGGTGGCATTTACTTTAATATATTCATCTCTGCTACTTAGCCACAGACTGGGAGAAGCTGATTCCATCCCTGATGTGTGTGTGTGTGTGTGTGTGTGTGTGTGTGTGT